AGTTTCGGATAAGGTTTCGGAAGCTATAATCCGAAACCCGAAACTTTCGGATTTTGGTACAAAGGGTTTCGGAGCCATCTCTAGTTCCAGTAGTAAACGGATTCATAAACATCAAGTTCATCTGTTTATATAATAGTGAAAACCAATTATTGCTTTAATGAGAGATACGTGATGGGTCAATGTTTATTAAGATTTGTGTGCATGGGAATTCGAACAAATGTCATATTCTGGATATAATTTTTAATATATATATATTTTTTTACTAATTTTGTTTAAATTAAATACATGTCAAAATCGTAAGACTGCCCTAGAGAACCAATAACATATAGCTATATATAAAACGATAAACATAATGAAATTATTCCATCAAATATATGCGAACATGCGAAATCAAAAGCTTATCGAATTCTTGTCGGTTAAATTTTAAGTTTATTAAAAAAATAAATAAAGTTTTTTAAACCAAATTTTAAACTGTCTAAATTATAATTTATTTAAATTGTCAGTATTTTAAAAAAATTCTTCTGATAAAATATCACTTTTCATGCCACGTTTATATGAATATATTTCAATTTAGAAACTGGAAAAAAGTAAATCTATGAATCCGGGATATTTGGATTATATCCAAGATAAAGTAAGGTAGAGTTCATTAAAGGATAAGTTCTACTTGGTTTTTTCCTACCAGGAGTGACATCTGATAGGTCATTAACGCCCTTAAATTGCACGACAATTTGTGGATAAATTGAATAACCAATTATTTCTCCTGCCGTGATAAGAGCAGGTATCTCTCTATCAATTTTATCTGCTGTGTTGTTAATTTTAAGTTTTTTTAATAACTTCTTAGCTCCTTTAATAGAAACCGCATAAGCATGTGTACATTTTGGATATCCTGATTTATGTAATTTATGAATAGTTAAATTAGTTTTGAGAAGTTCGTTGCCTTCCTCATGACAACTCCCAAGATATAGAATATCCCAATTATTAGGTAAATTGCGGTGAACTTCAGACATAATATCAGTAATGTTAAGTTCCATATCCACATCATCTTCAAGAATCATTGTATTTTTATAACCATTTTTGACAATTGATTCAATGACTGAATAATGACTTAGATAACAAGCCTTAGGACCAGCTTCTAAGTTACTCATATTAAGTCTGCTAAGTGCTCCATTATCAAATTTATTAACTGCTTTGATAATATCAAGATCTAAACCAAGGTAATCTCCTAATGCCTCCATTTTTTTACGTCTATCTATTCGATATTCAAGATTAATAACATAAACATGTTCATAACCAAGCGTGTTAGTGCAGTTCGTGCACCTTAGTTCGTTGATAATTTGGTTTGTAGTAGAAAAATGTGAAAATTCTAGAAAAAAGGTTGCACTATTATAAGTTACTAGTATGAGGAATAAGAAGAATAAGAAGCCAACAAACGTTGCAAATGGAGAATACATCGTTTAAAAATTAAACATTCTTTAGATTAAGCTTCGTTAAAATAATAGATTGTTGCTCAATTAATAAGCGCTTTTCAAAAGTTGATTGGGTAATCTTTAAATAAAAAAAGTTATATAAATTCGAGTTGCATAAGTTATAATAATCTAAAATAAAAAATAAAAAAGGCAATATATAGCATCATAATTAATTTTAGAATTATAGATTTAGTAACGGTATTACTATCGAGTGGGAGAGCGATTTGACTATGAAGCCTATTTAGCTTTGATTGCGATTTTCGACAAAAATGAGAGTGATAATTTTAGATTTATCCTATTAATAACCCCTCAGTAAATGTTGGTCGGAATTTAGATTTTCTAAATTGGCAGTCAGTACTACTAGATTTAGTTATTAATTAATTAGTGTAGTACCGACCTTAATTCCGACATGCTAATGGTCAGATAGATAATTGTGTTGTCGGAGGACAGAATCATCGAGGAGGTTATGCAATTTCTCTTAAATGATACTTACACATGTATATAAATGCTAGCTCCTCTCTATGATGTTAGAGTAGAGAAATGTATGCATTCTGAACTCTTCTCCTAATAAAGAGAATTCTCATGACTCGTCTCTTCTAAAAAAATTACCTGTATCGATGTCCTTATCATAAATGTTTTAATTATTGTAGGAATCTTGAATTTCACCCTGATTCTAAATGACCTTGTCTATGACCGACGTATCACATCGTTTACCACCCTGATCTATCTTGGCACTATCCTATCTGACGCTCTCCCAAATTCGGATGGTAACACCGGATACTGTATATCTATTAATAGCTTTACTAAATGATTGTAATTGGTCATTTCATCATGATATTTCAAATGATATTATCTACTTCTATATTTAAGTCGAAAATGTAACCCTTTTGACATCAATTTCGTACAAAAGGACATTAATTTCGTACAAAGTGACATTCAAATCTGTACAAAATAACAATTAAAATAAGTTTGATTTAATCGTGATATAGTGGTCCAATATAGAAGATTTTGGTACCATTCAAATCCTCTCGATGAGACGATTTGAATGATACCAAAATCTTCTACATTGGACCACTGTATCACGAGATATTCCGATTTAGTCAACTTATTTTAATTGTCATTTTGTACAGATTTGAATTTCACTTTGTACGAATTTAAATGACATTTTGTACGAAATTAAATATCACTTTGTACGAAATTGAATGTCATTTTGTACGAAATTAAATGTCATTTTGTACGAAATTGATGTCAAAAGGGATAATAATACGCGTGATGTAACATATCTAGTTATGCAATGTACACTTTAAGGGCAAATGATAATACGGTTAATTGTTAGACGAATTCGGAATTATAAGATAAGGATTAACAATGACGGATTAATTTAGGTGTATTGTATTAACGATGCTATTAGAAGAGATGCGAGGCGAACTTTAAGAGTATGCGATAAAATATAAATATGCTTATTAGATAAGATGAATACCATATTTATCGGACGTGGGTACCCCATGGCGTGTACCCTCTACCAATTTTAAAGAGCTGGACGCAGGGCTTAAAATACCTTATTGATTTACCTGCCATTTACTGCGCCGATGCCTATTGTTTAAAGTATCGTTTTTGATACACCAGAGTTAGAAGTCATACGTATTAATAATTTCTAACAATAGTCATAAATAACAAATGAAAATGTTGAATTTTATCATTGTTTTATAATCGTTAAATTTCTAGATGTTAGAAAAAAAAAATGTAAATACTGAAATATCAAATTTAAACTGTAACATATGTCATCGAATATTAATAACACAACGTCTCAACAAATTAAACATGTTAATAGAAATTTTCGACAAAGCTGGAAGGATGAGTATCCTTGGCTTGAATATGATTCTCTAAATAGCCGAATATTTTGCACTTTATGTCGGGCTTGTAATAAAAAAAATAATTTTGCAAAAGATGGTATTAATAAATAATTAAATTATTTATATATTTTTTTCAACCTCCTTGAGGAGGATGCTCTATAGAAATATTATATTTAAATAATTAATTTATTTAATTAGGATCTAAGAATATTAAACTTTATACTATAAAAGAACACGTTAAAACCAAAGATCATATTGACTCACATAAAAAAGAAGAAATTATAATCGTACCACCTGGACATGTTATAAGTTTAATGAAGATTGTTTATTTTATGACGCAAAATGATATTCCATTAAATAAAATTAAACCACTTACACAACTTAGTCGTGCTATTGACATTACATATGTTGATAATGGTTAAATTAGAAGAAAAGAATGAAATAGAATTTGATTTTAAAAATGCATTGAATATCTGGTATAGTGATAGAAATAAAAAATTAACATGTAATTTTTAATATTAGAATATTTTGACATAAATGCTATTTTAATAGATTGTAATAAAATTCTATCCATAGTATGTATTTTTGCTGTTGGAACTTTAGATAGTACAATTAAAACTTGCAATAGAATACTTGAGTTTCTAAAATATTTATAATCTTTAGCAAGTACCTCTTGTAATGTTATTTTTAATTTTTCTTGTTCTCTCACTTTTCTAGCCTAATTTTCTATTCTAGCTTTCATTTTTGTTGTTGTTCTGCTTTTCCTGTTCCAATTACTTTTGTTCGGCTCTTTCCTGTTTCTCATACTCTAATTGTTTATTTTTCTATTCTTCACATTCCAATTACTTGTATTTCTGCTTCTCACATTCAGCATTTTCATATTCTAATCGCTTGCATTCCTGTTCTTTGTATTTTTGTCACATGTATTCTTGTTCTTCACGTTTTGCCTTCTCACATTCTTCACATTGGCATTCTCCTTACATTTAGCTCTTATATTTTTTATGTTCTTGCCAATCTTAATTTGCTGAAACAAATGGCTCAATTTCTTTCTCTTCATTTAAAATACCCCAAATGTTCTTTACAAAGTGGGTTTGGAGATTGTACAATTTGATATTCAAACCGCTTTTATCATCAAATTGAATGATCAATACCACTACACATGGAGATACATATATACATATAACAGGCTTTGATTTTTTCTTAAAGCATACTTCATTGTAATTCACTTATATCTGGTACCTGAAAAGGCTGATACAACAATTTTTTTGCAATGTAAAATGCATGTAGTTATTGTGAAAAAGGATAACTGAGATAAACTTCATAATTCCAACTATTTTATATTAGAAATTTAACAATTATTAGCCACTAAATATACCATACCACTGATCGATCTTCTAAACTTATGTGTAAAGTTATATTTGCTCTGCGAATTTTGGCCATACTTTGCTGTGCATACTGTAGTGAATTTCATAAACTGCTTATTTGTAAAAAGGCATTTTAATTTAAAGGAAATTTTTTTTTTGAAAATATATAAATTCTCTCATTATAATTACTATCACCCTTTGTAGTCATATCTGTACTATATATAAATCAGTTACTAATAGTGTAAGTTGCTTTTTAATTTTTGTAAATTACTTTAAACAGGCTCTTCACAAAATCTTTCACCTTTAATCATCAATATTAAATTTTTTTGACAGTTGCTATTATTACAAATTGTTATACAAGTCAAGCAATAATCATTTTTTTTTTATACATATAGTATTCTAATGTAGTATTTATATGATATGCATATAACAATTGCTTTTTTAGCCAATCAGACTTAGAATATCATGAATCAAAAATGATACTTTTGCAATGGCCAGTAAATCAATAGGTACTTTGCAGAAACCTTGATTTTTGCTAAATATATTTGCAATATAACTATTATATATTTGCTATATCATCGCAATATTATTAAAATTAATATATAGTAAATATATAGTAAATATATATTAAAAATATTTTAATGATATTGTAAAAATATTTTTTTTATTCTATTAAGTTTCTTATAACTTGATTACTGTGATGTCTTTAAAAGATAATAATAATATAGCCTTTATCTAGTATAATTTTAAAAAAAATCTATTATTAATCTAATTAAGATATAATAAAATAAAAATTTATAATATTTTAGATATATCTCGATAATATAATTGTGATATATTAAAAATATCAAAATAATATTTAAATATTTTAACAAAGCTTGAATTTAATATATATTAGAAATATGATTAATAGCTGACTTTAATATATTAAATATATAGCTACTTTATTATTAAAAGATATAAAAAATATAATAATTTATATAATCAAATTGATAGTGATCATGAAGAAAAATTTGTAAATCCGAATTTTACATTTTAAAAAATTCTATCACGAACCTAGCCCACCATGATCAGTTACGTGAATTAATTACCGAAATTTTAATGATTCTAGTTGATAATGACAATGTTTGTTTATATATTGTAACTTAATAGCAAGTGTTGTTTAAAAATTTTCTTACCAAATGTTTCATTAATGGAATCCGACTATTCAACCCAATCGAATTTAAAAAAAAAAGTTCACTTGCCGAATAATAAAAATAAATTAATGAATTTGAAACTAATAAAGAAACACGTATCGAATGCTTAACCTGTATAAATAAAGGCAAAAAATGGAAACGTTAAAAGCAGAATGAAATGCAAGAAAGTGCTATAGAACCTGAAGATATCGAAGATGTAGCTTATAAATAACTTATGTATGGATAATATGGAAGAAGAGAAAGCACGAATAGATTTTAATACAATTATAAATCAAATAATAAAATTAGAAATATTGATGAATCACATGCAAACTTAATAGCGATTGTGATCGAGATTGTGAAGCATTATAGAAAGGTAACGAATATATTTATATTTATTATAAGAAGCATTATATTGGTGCAATTGCCATCAAGAGTTTGAAAAAAAGTCAAAAAAGTTTAGACAATTCTAAACACGTAATACAGAAGCATCTTAAGAAATATGATGGCCTTATTATTCAGAAAAGTTTGATAAGTTTATCTTTATATTATTATGTGTATTATATTTAGAAACGTATAACTTTCAATTTAGGTTCGATGGAATTCATATTATCCCATTAATTGAAGAAGCCGAAAAGCTATTTAGAGAAATTTACATATCACCTGATGATGCACAACTTCTATAATGATTACTTCGACAGTTCTTGACAACTACAATAATAATATTGTAGATGATGAATCAAGTTAGTGTTTCGACACGTCTTAAAAAGTACAATCCGGGTAACCCGTCGGGTGACCCGTGGGTAACCCGGGTTGATCAACGGGTCTACCCGGGTACAAAGATTACCTGTTGTACCCGGGTTGACACCCGGGTACTATAACTTTTTAAAGTACAGTCAACTTTCTCTAATCTGACCTCTCTAATCTG